GTTACACCTAGTTAAAGGAATTTTACTGATATATATCTTCCATTATTCAAAAGGCCAGATTTTTCAATAATCCTTTTATCTTGTAATGGTGAAAGGATCTTGAAAGTGATAGGGGTTCTTATTGATTGTAATATTCTTCAACAACTTCTAAGAAAATACATTCTCAACTATAATTAAAGAATTGGAACTTAGTATAAACTAGAGACTGTTTGATCTTATTACCTGATCAGGATAAAAAGGAAACCTTGGTTTTGAACTTTGTCTGACTAGAATAATAAGAGAAAAAGATCTTAATTTAAACAAATAGTAGTTTTTTTATCACCTGAAAACTTGTTGCTCATATCTTATTGCCTTCATAATACTTGACCTATAGATTAACCCAATTAGAAAAATAGAGTAGAAACAGGACATCAATTAACTCTTCCTATTATCAATAATGTCATCAAAACACATGAAATAACTAATAGATACTGTTTGTATTTAGCTACTAATATGTTTCATATTTACCAATCATATTTTGCAATAGATTATGTTACTTAAATTTTAGGGTTAAACTGAGATAGGCAAAATTCCCTAGAAAATCAAAAAAATTTTGAATGACTATAAAAAAAAAAAATATAGTGAGCAGATATTTTAAAAATATGATTTGATATTTATCATCTCCCACTGCTAAAAATCTCTATAGACATGCTTCAATATGAAAGGCTTCTAGTACTATACTATTGGTTTTTCTTTTTTATAGAACTTTCTTGTCATAGATAAAGAAAGTGTTTCTTAACTTTTCTAGATCACAGGAAGTCAAGTTTTTGATTAAAAATGAATATAAACAAGAGAAGTAGTTTAGGAATATCTCTTAAAGTAAAACTCTAAGTTGGTTTAAGAATAGTATTAAGACTTTATTAGCAAAAAAATAAAAAATTTCTTGTGAACATTTTTTTTGTGTATGAGTAGAGGATCAGCAGAAAAAGTTTTGTTCCTTTGAGCTATTATATTAAATTTTGTGATTATTATTTTTTTTTTTTTGAGTATTCATAGCCAGGTTAAATTGTGAGTTTATTAATCAATTAAAAACATAAGTATATTTTCATTCAAATAGCATGATAAATACTATAGCTAAATTTCTTTTATTTTATCTAACTAACTCATTATAAGTATAAAAACCTCTAAGTTTGGTCTTGGGAACAATATTTCATTCAGCTGTGTCTTTGGATGAAAACCTTCCTAGTTTACTACATCATTGCTAGCAGGTTGTTACTAATGATAGGTCCCTAAAGTATTTAGCATATAAAATTTCGCAGATCACTTATGTTCCTTTTTGAGGAACAAAATTTATAGCTCTTCACTTTAATAGGAACAAAAGTTTAGAAATGCTATAAATTAAGGATTTGAATAATGGAGAACAATTGTAGGTAGTTTTTTATATTTATTAATTTAAAAATTTTAATTTTTCCTAGTGAGAGATATTTGACTTTTGTTCCTGCCTCTCTCTTTAGAAACCCATCTTTAGTTGTTACTGCCACATATTATATTAAGTCACTGGAATATAGAAAACTATAAAAGGATAGATTGAAAAAAGGAAAAGTGTATATCTTAAAATGCTCAAATGGATATATAAGAAAATGAAAATAAAATAAAATAAAATAAAATTCATCAGTTTCCTTCAAAAACCTACTTCTTAAAACTTCTTTTCAATAAGAAATGTCCAATTGAGATATTTTTTCTTTTCCTGACCATCCGAGAAACTTATCCATTCTTGATCTTGATTTTTTTTTTTTTGTCTTATCTAAGGAGACTTATCATTAAAAATGGGTCTCTAAAGGGGAAGGCAAAAACAAAATTCAAATGTCCCTCACTAGGAAACATTAAAATTTTTAAATCAATAACTATAAAAAAACTATCTACAATTGTTCTCTATTATCTAAATTATTGATTTATAGTATTTTTTGACTTTTGTCCCTATTGAAATGAAGAGCTATGAATTTTGTTCCTCAAAAAGAGACATAAGTAATATGTAAAATTTTATATACTAAATATTTTAGGGACCTATCATTACTTATTTCCTAGTGAAAGCCTTTACTTCCAGGATATATTCTGTTTCAATTTTTTTTTTGGCAGTGATTTTTTATCTACCTGTGATAGAGAGATAACTTAGAATGAACTCCAGGTTCTTATGTGATCCAGTAGAAACTGAGTCATATTATATCTTTCAACAGTCATATCTAGTTAAAAGAATTTTATTGATATATATCTTCTATTATTCAAAAGGTCATATCTCCTAACAATTCTTTTACCTTATAATGATAGAAGGATCTTAAAAGTGATAGAAATTCTCGTCGATTATAATATTCTTCAACAACTTCTAGAAAAATGTATTCTCAACTGTAACCAAAGGGTTGGAGCTTAGTATGGATTAGAGACCATTTGGTTTTATTGCCTAACCAGGATAAAAAGGAGATCTTGGTCTTGAATTTTGCCTGACCAGAATGATAAGAGAGAAAGATTTTAGCTTAAACAAAAAGTAGCTTTTTCACTACCTAAGAACTTGTTGCTATAGTATATCTTATTGACCTTATAGTACTTTATCTATAGATTAACCCAATTGAAGGAACAGGATAGAACGGGATACCAATCAACTCTTTCTATTACCAATGATATTATCAGAATATGTGAGATGACCAGTAGATACTTGTTTATATTCAGCTACTAATGTGTTTTATATCCATCAATCATATTTTGCAATAGACCGTGTTACCTAAAATTTAGGGCCAAATTGAGGTAGGTAAAATTTCTCAGAAAACCAAAAAAATTTTGGACAACTATAAGAAGAAAGAAATAGTGGATAAACATTTTGAAATATGGCTTGATGTTTGTCACCTTTCACTGCAGATAATCTCTATAGACATGTTTCAATATAAAAGGCTTCAAGTATTATACTATTAGTTCTTCTTTCTTTCAGAACTTTCTTGCTATAGGTAAAGAAAGTGTTTCTTGACTTTTTTAGATCACAGAAAGCCAAGTTTTTGTTTGAAAATGAATATAAACAAGAAAAGGGGTTTGAAAGTATCTCTTAAAGTAAAACTTTAAGTTAATTTAAGAATAATATTAAGACTTTATTAGTAAAAAAATAAAAAATTTTCTTACAAGTATCTTTTTATGTATGGACAGAGGATCAATGAAAAAAATTTTATTTTTTTATTTTTATTTTTTTTAAACTGCAACTGGTATTAGATGTAAGTGCTTTTATTAAAAATTTGCTTAATATCAGGGATATTAAGATCTTAGGCATTGACATCAATTATCTTATACAAATTATATATTTCTATATACATATAGATTAATAATAATCTATCATGATTTTTTTAGATGAACCTACTACCACTTAGAAAGTGGATAGACTCAACTAGAGACTGGATAATCAAATACACAGTTATAAATATTGAAACAGGCTAATCTAATAATAAGCTTTATAAATTTTTTATATTATATATTCACTAAATTAGATTATATAGTATATACTTGACGGGATTAATTTTACTCTCCAATACTTTCAATGATATCAGATCAGTCCATTTGACTGGTTTTTCATTTAAGCAGAGTACCGTATTGGGATATTCTGAGCTAAAAGGGCAGTTTGTGCTACAGAGTCTACCATGCCAGAAGGGTTGTAAGCTTTTTAAGGAAGTTAGACCAAAAGCTTTTCCTTATACAACCTTTCCTGCTTCAATCTGATTTTAACCTGCGATTATCAGAAAGACCAGAAGTCTCATTTTTATACAGTCTAACTAAATTTGGTCAAGATCTGGATAATTGGATATGACTTTTATAGGATAATCAAAAAATCTGATTAGAAGTGTAATTTTTGATTTTGATCCTTAAATGTTATTGAACTACAGACCTTATAATTGCAACCTGGGAGCACTACCACTGTGCTATTGACCTACAGGTCTAGTGTAAAAAGTTTTATTTATTAAATTTTGTGATAAATAGATTAAAAATAACTGTAACTTATAGTTAGACACTATATATATACTTTATATTCTATAAATATATTTCTATATTTCACAAGTCTATATACAGTACTTTATATATTTATATTCTTAAACTTATCTACTTTGTTATCTTATATTTGTAAATTTTCAAGTTTCACAATTTACCTATTTATATTTTATATCTTACAACTGATCCTTTTTAAATACTTTATATTTTGTAAATTCATTTACTCTCCATATTATAATATTTGTATGTTATAAAAAATAAAATAAATGTATAAAAAAAAAAAAAATTCTAAATAACTATTATAAAGCTTAAAAATATAGGTCAAAGAAATATAATCCAAAAAATAACAAAGAAGAAATTATTAAGAAGTAAACCCTCTAGCCTATCTGAAGAAAAAATATTTTAATAGGACTTATCTTATTGAAAAGAGATTTTTATTTTTATACTTCCTTCACTTATTTTATATCTTTCTTCGCTTTTGTAGTTTTCTGTTGATTAGTGTCTTGGTAAGACACACAGCAGTGACAAACAGCTGGCTGTGATGAAAAGAAACCAGGAAGATCTTTATCCAAAGTCCTTTCTAAAACAAAATATTGTTTTCAAGATCTGACTTAAAAACTTTTTATGCCTATAACAAGTTAGTTAGATATGATATAAATGTTTGGCTATAGTATTTTTTATTCTGCTCTGATGAATACGTACTTTTGTCTTCTTAGGCTACGGGTTTTACAAAAAAAAAAATTATAAAAAAAAATAATTTGATTCTTATATTTATCGATTGGCACCATTAATACGTACTGTAATTAGGCATCATGTGAACTTGTAAGGATGACAGTAAATTTACACTTCTTAACCAAATAAGGGCATATATGCAATATACTTCCGAAGACAATAAGAATACCGTGGGAACATTAGGTAATACTATATACGCAATATTTCATCATATAGATTACATATAAAAGGAAGGAGGTAAATTCTGATTTCCGTTTTGAACTTTGCAAGACATGGAAGAAATCCACGTGTATAAATACCTTGAAGGCTTTGGAAACCATTTTGTTTCGGAAGCTTTGCCTGATGCATTACCCAAGAGTATGAATTCGATGATTGTTGTGGTATTAGACTCATTGCCTAACTCATTGTATAATCAGGTCAAAATACACCTCAAAAATGCTCGTACGGTCTTTATGCCGAACAACTTTCCGGAACCGCTTTTACTGTTGACAGAAAACATAATGAACGAAGGCAACCATATAATTTAATTCATCTTTGTTATCGATATCTAATTTTCGGAACCTTAAAATTTATAAAAGTTTTCGTTACAGTTGGCTTTACCGTATAAGACCGTCCGTCTGCCACAAACCCTTCGTAAAATTTCAGCAAATTACTGATATCGTAGGTCAATTCAATGGCAATGGCAATGGCATTCATTTTATCCCAGATCAAATTCGTTGGAGTCCTTTTAACCTTCTCGAGCCGCACCCGAAAGCAGTGGATTTCGTCAGTGGATTACATACTCTCGCTGGCGCTGGTGATCCAACGGTTAAACATGGATTAGCGATTCACATGTATAACGCGAATCAAGATATGGTCGACACTGCGTTTTACAATTCCGATGGAGATTTCTTGATAGGTAACGTTAACATTATACAAATTATGCGCAAATGATGCCCAGAGACATTTTAAAAGTTATTTAAATATCAGTTCCACAACATGGCCGTCTTGACATCACCACGGAATTTGGAAGAATGTTGGTGGCACCTTGTGAGATCACAGTTATTCCGCGTGGAATTAAATTTTCAGTAAATCTCCCGGATGGACCAAGGTGCTTTATTTGACATCGGGAATTGGCAATTTATCTTGTCACTGATCATCATTTCTCAATTATAAAATAGTCGCGGATATATCCTGGAAGTTTTTGAAAATCATTTTGAATTGCCCGATCTAGGTCCAATAGGTAAAGTTTCATAAAGAATAAATAATTTAGCATAAATTCACTATTCTTATGTTCGCCCAAACAGGTGCGAACGGTCTGGCAAATCCACGTGATTTTCTAACTCCGACAGCATACTATGAGGATAAATCGGACTGCGAATATACCATTGTAAATAAATTTGTTGGACAGTTGTTTATTGCAAAGCAGGTGATTGATATTTGAAACAATCAGCATTGATCGTTTTGTTTATGAGACCGATTTCGTTGAACTAAACTTATTCCTGTTAATAATTCCAAGGATCATTCACCTTTTGATGTAGTAGCCTGGCATGGAAATTATGTTCCATATAAATATGATCTTAATAAATTCAATGTCGTGAATTCTGTTTCGTTTGATCATTTGGTAAGTTCAAATCTCCGATAGTCTAATTTCCTTATCCTAAAAGATATAAATTTGTTGAAATTAACCCGAATTTATCAACGCATGTATTTTAAAAAGGATCCATCCATATTTACGGTGCTCACTTGTAAATCTGCCTTTCCCGGTGTTGCGATAGCAGATTTCGTGATATTTCCACCTCGATGGGCTGTTCAAGAACATACTGTAAATATTTAATGATCACAATCTTGAATAATTAATAGGAGATCAATTAATGACTTTATTAAATAATTTTTAATGCCAATTTTTTTTAATTCGAATCGTTATACCTCCTAATCAAGTTCCGACTCCCTTATTTTCATCGAAATTGTATGTCAGAATTTATGGGGCTCATTAAAGGCTCATACGAGGCTAAATCTAAAGGATTCCTTCCTGGTGGCGCAAGGTATTTGAGAAATATTTGACCAATCTAATATTATCTCGTCATCCTCCCGGTACTCATCTTCACCCTCTGCAACAGTCTTCATAGTTTCATGACCCCACATGGTCCAGATGCCACTTCCTTTGAGAAAGCAAGCAATGAAGAATTAAAACCTGTTCGAGTAGCCGATGGAACACTGGGCAAGTTCTTATTTGGACATTCTATCAAGCTGTTATATGTTTTTCCTAGGCTAATCAAATCTTCAATCATTTAGCGTTCATGTTTGAATCATCTTTGATGCTAGGTATAACTTCATGGGGCGTATCCAATAAGATGGAGATTCAACACGATTATTATATGGGATGGCAAGAGTTAAAAAGCCACTTTAATGCTAACACGATGGCAAGCAAGTGATGTACTCTTCGGCTGAAACTACGAAGCCGAGATGTAAAATGATTTTCATTGTCTATTTTCATAAAATCTTAACCTAGATTCAAAATAATACTACTGGGTTGTAAATGATTAGATTCTATAAAGATAGATGCTTAGTGCACCAAGCATTATTTATTATTTGAATCTCATGTAATGTTATTGAAGTTCTCTACCACACCTCTCCCTACTCTCATCAATTAATTTCCATGCCGGCTCATAGCCATATGGTTTCGTGGGATTGCAAAGATCCGGATTAGGATGTGTATTATCGACGCTACCAAGCGATGTATACCTTTTCATTTTCAAATACGTGTCAGATATGTGTAATTACTATGAAAAATAAGAGTAAATTCCTTATCGACAATATCTCACCCTTTATCGTATAGTATGCAATATGGTATGTTTAATGTTCGCAAGAATTCCCATACGAGTGCGTAATTCCAATCAAGAATCGGATGCACACGCATGAATTCAGGCCAATCTGGGTCCGTTGGGATGAACTCCGATAACTTTGCTACATCGAAATTTTTAGCATATTTATCCTAAAGAACAAGATAGAATCAATCATGCGTACCTCCGTGTGGGTCTATTCGGCGAGTGCCAACCAGTATTGCCTTAATACTTGGATTATATTCGGAATACTTTTTCAATGCTTGTTTAATAGGCCCTTCTATTTTAACAATGTCTAATCCGTATCGAATGACACAGTCATTCACAAACTCGTCTACTTCGGAAAAAGCATTTGGAAACGTAATATATACGGCCTGAATCTTTTCTATAGAGTCTTGGCAATTTTTGTACATTACAGCAGCTAATAAATGTAACAGTACCACTGAATCTTTTCCGCCGTTGAAAGAGATGCTTAACCCTTCGACCCTATTTATTTCGAAGTCAATAAGTTAAGGCTACGTAACATTAAACTACTTTTTAAAAAAAAATGTTTACCCGTATATCTCTAGGGACTTTTCAATGATGTTAAGTGCTTGGGTTACATATTTCGAAATTGGCTTATCCGAGTTTGCAAGCTCATAGACTTCTCGATATATTTTGGAATATTCTAATTTTTTTAAAGCAATCATGTTTAAACAAAAAAATCCTAAACGAGTCCTTTATATATAAGTTTGATATATAAGGGTCATCTGAATTTTGATCGATAATCAACCAACCAACGAATGTCAACGAGCGCTATTCTTGTATAACGCATTTAATCTATTCATCGGCGTCATACCTCCACGTTACGCCATGTGTTTCGTATCTTCAAGATATCAAACATTTTAATATTCGAATTTTTAGATTCACGTAAAAAATCAAGATGTTACTATCACCTTGTCATAAGGAAATGGGCTGTGAAGAAGAAATTGTAATCACAAATACATTAATTTAGATTTAAGATTGTAAATTCAATAAATATATTATTAATCAAGAACATTATTAATTAATAATATTAAAGTTGTACCTAGCCGATCAAGACATGCAAACTCTTTAAATGTATAAAAATTTTAATGACTTAAATGCATGTCTATATGCATTAGCAATTTTAGGCTGTATCAGCTATATTGTGTATTATTGCTTACGAATATTGCTATATATTGTTTTTCTTAAAAAAATTAAGTACTATATATATATCTTTTAATAGGAATTTATAAAAAAATTATATGTCAATATTCAAAGGTTTAAATATTCCATTATTTTATTAAATTCATTTTATCAAAGTTTTATAATAATAATAATATACTTTAGATATAAGATAGGTTATTAAACTTATATAAATTATAATTTTTAAAAAAATAATTTAGATAAATAAAAATAAAATTAATAATATTTTTTTCTTGAAAGACTTAATAGAGTTTTGGTTTATTGAATTTATTAATGATTATTAGAATCAAATTTTTTAGAATCAGCTAAATATACAATTTAATTATATTAATATAAAGCTATTCTATATACTATGACTCAAATATTTTAATTAAAACATTAATAATAATAATAAATTTATTTTGCTTATATAATACTAGTCTCATATAATATATTGTCAAAAAAATTCAGTTATCTTTCTATACTATATTTAAATTATTTTATCAAATAATTGTTCCATATTTAGCTTTCTAATTTAAGATCTCTTTCATTATTTTATTTCAATAAATATTTTTTTAATACTATTTATTATAATATTTTTATATAATATTTAAGTAAAATTTTAAATATTGTCTTATTTTAACTATTTTTTAATATGACTTATTATATTATAGTTTATCTATAGAATGATTATATAGAATAATTGACAAATATTAATTTTAATAATGTCTTTTTTTTAATATACTTAAATATTATTAAATTTTTTTTTTTTTTTTTAACAAATAAATCTTTAACCTATTTATCAGAATTATAAATCCTATTTTGTAATAAGAAGATTTTAGTATTAAATCAACTAAAACATTTTTTAATCTTTAAGTATTCTATAATTAAATAATTATTATAAAGCAAATAAGATTTTTTGTAATACTTAGGTTTAAATAATATTATCTTATAGTAGTATTAAACTTAAAAACAATATTTGATAATTTAGAAGTACTATTATTATACTATCAACTTGTCACACTCTTTCCATTAATCCTCTAACCACACACAAAAAAGATGTTTGCAAGAAGTTTTTTTATACTTCTAAACTAATAAAATCTTACTACTCTCCTTAAACTAACTTGAAGAAACTTCAAGAGTCATCAACTACCCCCTCTTCTCTTGCTTACTATTCTCTTCAAACAAAAACTTGATCTCTAGTGACTATAAAGATTAAGAAAAATCTTTTCTACCAATGGCAAGAAAGTTCTGAAAGAAAGAACTAATGTGTCGTTATCTCATACTGTAGAGGAATAATACAGAAGTTCTGTAATGATAAGAGACAACTTTCCCACTCTCTTGTCATTTGTTTGGCTTCTCATAGTGCTCATTCTTG